CTTCCGCCCACTCCACACCCAACTCCGACTCCTCCTGGCACCACTATTTACTTGACACTCCAAATTCAGTCTCCTCTATGCTCCAGATACTCTCACATTTCATCGGCTTTTTTTGGTCTCTCAACTGTGTTCCTGTTCCCCACCAGATGCTATTAAGCTTCCCATCCCATCTTCCCTGGGATGCGCCTCACCGGCACCCACTGCCTCACCTGGCTGAGGCTCAGAGACACCTCTGAGGCTGTTACCTAGTCCAGGCTCATAGGACTCACCCACTACAGGCCAGTAAGTCAGGAGATGAGTTGTGGGGGCAAGGAATAGTGACTTTATTTGGGAAACCAGCAGACTGAGAAGATGATGGGCTAGTGTCCCAAAGCACCGTCTTACCCAAGTCAGAGTTCGGACTTCTTTTATACTGAAAGGGGAGGGAGCGTGGTTGGTTGCTGCAAACTTCTTGGCATCGGAATCCTTTGCTATTTCTCCTGTTCGTGTAGGTCCAGTCATGATAGTCCTGGAAACCTCCAACAAGACAAATGTTATTCTCAATTCTACAACTTTTGATCTCTATATCAGTGAGTATTACACCTTTAAAGGTCAGCGTTTTGAGAAAGGGCTACCCTGTGTATATCAGGCTATAGGCAACATTCTTAGCTTGTAGCAAAAGTAATTAAGTACAAAGGTTAAAGTAAAAGAAACCAATGCAACATGGAGTCAGATTTGTTCTTCCCTACTTCAAGGCCACCTTTCCATCCCACTCCCTGGGACCTTTGGCTTTCTTTGCTCCCATTTTTGTTCATTTTTAAAAGGCACTTAAGTAGCATATGCCCTGACATTTTTTTCCCTGACACACAACACAGACATTCAATTAACCATGTGCTAATTCATTACGGTGTCAACTGAAAAAAAAGGAAAACTGTACAATCTAAAGGTTGAGAGTTGTGTTTTAGTCAGAGGACAGACTGAGAACTTCAAGCCTGGGAGGTAGTATCTCAAGTAGCCCTGAGGGAACTGCCCCAAGGAGGTGAGGAGGGGGAACTAGAATATATGAGTTTTGCAACAAAGGGCATCTAATGGGAAAAAAGATGAGAGCTAATAAAAGAAAACTAGATATCTCAAGCTAAGGAATTGACTGCTTTTCTACGAATGGGAAAATGCAAGAGTCTGAGCTTACCGAAATCGTTCCTTTGATATGCTCCTCAGCTGTCTGGGGCCAGCATCCTGTGTTTTCACATCCTGAGTTCCCTCCAGGCTCACCGTTGGAGGGCTGCAACTGCTGATGACCATGATATTCTTTGTTTACTGACATGGCAGGCAATATTTTATTTCTCGCTAGATACTGTTAAAAAATAAAACTCAACTGAGTACCTTTGAAGATCAAATTGGCTTTAGTCAACAATGCACGAACTAGACAGCATCCTGTTTAGCAGATAGACACTAGGGGTGCTGTACAAAGTGGATGATTTTTAAAGGTCTAAAGGGGATGAGACAGGAAGTCATAAAGGATTATTTCAGGCAAGATCACCTGCTTTACGAGGAAAGTAGGGGTCTGTGTGGGAGATTGACCTCATCTGTGGCCAGGAAATTCCAGACTGACTGGTAAAAAGTGACATTTCTGGAGGGACTGAACCTGGGGTTAGGATAGGTATTTAGCCTGCCTTGGCTGATATAGAGCTTAGCACAAGTGACTCCATGTCAGGAGACCCTTGTTTCTTTTCAACAATATCAAACCAACACACCCCATCTTCATGCTTTTCCTTTCTCCTGGCTTTTTCCCACATCAGCCCTCCGAGAACTCTTCTATCTGCTTATCCATGTCAGCACTGATGCCCACGGCATTAGAGAGAAGGCTCTATTCAAAATGTGTAACTGTATAAACACAATTATTTTTGTTTCTGGTTAGATGGCAGCTTTCTGCCACCAGCTAGGGACTCAGGCCCCTCCATCTCATGCCTTCGTCATCCAGCCTAGAAGGCGCAAGGCCAGAGGAGGGGGCATACCCGTTATTTAAGACCTTGGGCCAGCAGGGAACACCCACTCCTGGTGGGCCAGGACTGGGCGCGTGGCTGCCCCTCCATGCAAAGGAAGCTGGGAAATGTGATCCAGTCCTGAGCTAGGGAAGGGGGAAAGCGGGTTTGTAGGATCACTGGCAGGCTCCCAGGACTGCCCAGGGCAGTTACTGCTGTTCATGTAGGTTCCGAAACTCATTAACCATTCAGAGAGGAAGGTTACATATGAGCCAGAAGATGGAGAAAACAGCTCCAAACTGGGGGCTGAGATGAGTGTGGTTTCCCTCCATGACATGTGAACGTGTGAAAGACGGCAGAAAACTGTTGCTGTTGTTGTTTAGTTGCTAAGTCATGTCCGGCTCTTTTGTGACCCCGTGGACTATAGCCCACCAGGCTCCTCTTGACCGTAGGATTTCCAAGGCAAGAACACTGGAGTGAGTTTTGCCATTTCCTTCTCCAGGGGATCTTCCCAGCCCAGGGATTAAACCCCTGTCTCCTGCATTGACAGGTGGCTTCTTTACCATCAGACCCATCAAGGAAGCCCAGAAAACTGTTAAGAGCCAGCTAATCTGACAAAGCCCCCCTCTTCCACCTTAGCACTCAGGAAAACAAGACCCCAGGGTGACTCCGTACAGGCAGAGAGCGCCCCACCTGGGGCCAAGGTCGGACCATGCTCCAGGTCTCCAGACAAGAATGCCCAGCCTGGCTGATTTTGAACTGAGTTCAGCCCACATGAAGTCATGCTTACAGACTCCGTCTCGGGGCAAAATTAGCAATGAGAGTTCAGGCATGACAACCACTGCATCAAACACCCACCCCTTTGCATGGGGTGCTGGCAGTGAGCAGGAACATTGCTCATGACTCCCATCCAGATCCCCCAACCCCATCCACCCTGCCCAAGTCTCAGCTGCTTCCTTTGACTCTTGTCCTGGTACCTGTTCTGTTCTAAGGGGGAAAAAGGCAAGGTTCCTCCTCTACAAATCAAGAGTTACTGAGGGCAGTTATCTAAACGTCAAAGCTATCTCGCCAAACATTGGACTCACAGACCAGATGCTGCTTCTTCCTTGTGCTGAAAAATAAAACAGATCCGTGGGATTGATTATTAAGGAAACTATCCGACCATGAGCAAGGTTAATCCATAAGATAAGTTGGAACCACTCGAGTCCCATCCCCAGCTGCTTGCTTATTCAGATAAATGCTTTCTCAACAGACTGTTATTCTCCTTTAACCAAGGGGAGAAAAGGCACCCCAGGGTCAAATGACACAGAACACAAGCCTGAGGGAAGAAACTGCTTATAAAACTTTCAGAAAGCTTTAAAATTATTGGCTGAACAAGGAATTTCACACAGTGGTTTATATGTGTTTCATAGCAACATCGGTTCTAAATGTCCCCTTGCACTCGGATTCCAGGAGAGTCTTCCTAATGCTTCATCATCAAATGATTGTACCAATGCATTAATCATGAAGGCCAGCAGAAAGAATACAACCACAAGCCAAAACTGCAGATGTTAAATGTTGAAGCAGAAACCAAATCAAATATGCAAACACATAGAAAGAGAAAGACATGCCCCACACTGCTTTTAACTTTGGCATCACCTTAGGGTAAAAATGCATGCTTGTGAAAGTCATTCAGTCATGGCCGACTTTTTGCCACCCCATGGACTGTAACAGCCCATGGAATTCTCCAGGCCAGAATACTGGAGTGGGTTGCCATGCCCTCTTCCAGGGGATCTTCCCAACCCAGGTCTTCCGCATTGCAGGCAGATTCTTAACCAGCTGAACCATGAGGGAAGCCCAAGAATACTCGAGTGGGTAGCCTATCCCTTCTCCAGCAGGATTTTCCCAACCCAGGAGCCAAAATGGGGTCTCATGCATGGCAGGCAGATTCTTTACCAACTGAGCTATCAGGGAAGCCCATACTTACTGATTAAAAACCAGAATTTTTTCTACTCTGAAATTTGACTGACAAGTTAAAGAGTTCACTCAAAAATCTTGCCCCCAAAATTAAGGAGAGTAAGGAACAATTACAAAGGAATGTTGATTACATGTCTGTTGCATGCAGACATATATATCACGCGCATGGTTTTGTTTAACTGCGTAATAACCCTATGAGTTGGCTATCATGATGACCGTTTTGTAAATGTGAAAACTGAGGATCCATCAATGAATTCGATTAGTCTATTGGTCTACTCAGGCTGCCCTGACAGAACCCTACAGACTCGAGGGCTTAAACAGCAGCAGTTTATTTTCTCACAGTTCTGGGGGCTGGAAGTTTGAGAGCAAGGTGCCAGCAGGATTGGTTTCTGGTGCCCTCAATCGGTTTAGAAGACCTTTCTTCCTGCCTTCTCGCTGTGTCCTCACATGACCTTTCTCTGTAAGCATGGCCCCGGTGTCTCTTCCTTTCCTTAAAAGAGCACAAGTCCTTTTGGATTCGGGCTTCACCCTTACGCACTCATTTAACCTTAATCAGGTCCTCAGAGGACCCATCTCCAAACAGAGTCACGCTGGGTGTCAGGGCTTCAGCATATGGGTTTAGGAGAATACAATCCGTAATAGCACGACCAGAAGCCCACAGCTGATGAGTGGTAGAACCAAGCCTGTCTGGATCGAGACATTTCTTTATCCGGAGTGTGCTGCTTCTCACGTACCACAGCATCTCAGAGAGAGCCAGGAGACACCCCGCTGTCAGAGCCGACTCTTAGAGCTTGCTGGCAGGGAGACAGTTTCACAGCAGTAAGCCCTGTCCGGGTGGGAAGTGTGGTAAAGTCCTTACACAAGCTCGATCACGGAGCATGGGCAGATGACGCTCCCCCAAAAGAGGCTTCATCTGCTCTGATAGGAGCTGCACAAGTGGTCCAATGATGCTCTGTCATCTACCGCACTGCCAACCACCCAGGGGGTTTCCAGGACCCTCAGAGAGCCAGCGTTTCACTGGGTTTTTCTTTTCTTTTCTCCAAACCACCAGCTAACGTCCTAGAGGGTGACTCCATGGACCAGGACGTTGAGAGCCCCGTGGCCATTCACCAGCCAAAGTTGCCTAAGCAGGCCAGGGACGACCTGCCGAGACACGTCAGCCGGGACCGGACCAAACGGAAAATCCAGAGGTACGTGCGGAAAGATGGGAAGTGCAACGTGCACCATGGCAACGTGAGGGAGACCTACCGCTACCTGACCGACATCTTCACCACCTTAGTGGACCTCAAGTGGAGATTCAACCTGCTGATCTTCGTCATGGTTTACACCGTGACGTGGCTCTTTTTCGGGATGATCTGGTGGCTAATTGCATACATCCGAGGAGACATGGATCACATAGAGGACCCATCGTGGACTCCATGCGTCACCAACCTCAACGGGTTCGTCTCTGCTTTTTTATTCTCCATAGAGACAGAAACCACCATCGGTTATGGCTACCGGGTCATCACGGACAAGTGCCCAGAGGGCATCATCCTCCTCCTCATCCAGTCGGTGTTGGGGTCCATTGTCAACGCTTTCATGGTGGGGTGCATGTTCGTTAAAATATCACAGCCCAAGAAGAGGGCGGAGACCCTGGTTTTTTCCACGCACGCAGTGATCTCCATGCGGGACGGGAAACTGTGCCTGATGTTTCGGGTGGGGGATCTGAGGAATTCCCACATCGTGGAGGCTTCCATCAGAGCCAAGCTGATTAAATCCAAACAGACCTCGGAAGGGGAGTTCATCCCTCTGAACCAGACGGACATCAACGTTGGGTATTACACGGGGGATGACCGTCTGTTTCTGGTGTCTCCGCTCATCATCAGTCACGAAATTAACCAGCAGAGTCCTTTCTGGGAGATCTCCAAAGCCCAGCTGCCCAAAGAGGAACTGGAAATTGTGGTCATCCTGGAAGGAATGGTGGAAGCTACAGGTAAGATGTGCCTGCTCTAGGGGGGTCTGGGGAAGGATGTTCATGTTAAGCCGGACTTCACATCCTTATCCACGACAAGACATGGAAAACTGAACCTACCTCACTATTGATGTCGCCTTTTTATTCATGAAATAGTCTGTAGCCTCTGACCTTGAGGATGTCTGCCAAGAAGTCTAACCATTGAGATTTCTTTAAAAAACAAAAAAAACAAAAAAACCCTTGGGAAAATAAATTAATAATTTTTTAAAACATCTCTTAATATATTTTAATTTTTCAAACATTTACTTAAATGATAATTTGATCTCCCTCTAAAGCAGTTTTAGGCGGTTTTAAAGCATTGTTTAGTTTGTATAACTTGAGGCTATTTATGGCCAAGACAGGAAGAAGAAGTTAAGCCTTTCAAAGGAAAACCTGACAAATTGCTTTAATAAAAATGCAATTTTGCCCCTTCTTTGGGAGTCATTTGCAAGACCCACAGCCTGGGCTTTTCTTTTACGTCGAGTGAGAACTTGGTGTCTTTCCTCTATACTCTAACTGCCACACCTCCTGTAGATGCAATAATGCAGACCCAGTAAATAACTCAAGCAGAAAAGAATAAAAATTGAGACCCACTCACCATAGTCCTATTGACCCTTCTGCTGTGAACAGCTAATTATTGGAATATTTTAACCAAGATGATGTCTTCTAGAACTAGAGAAATGGTCTGTTTTTACTGAAGTCTTCACTCATATCTTTTCATATGTCTTACACATCCCAGCCGCAAAGGAGGTCCTTCCATATTGATCTGTAACGTTCTATGAAATAGAGTCGTAACTGCTGACCTAAGCTAACAATAGTGTCCCATAGGATAGGCATAAACTAGAACACGAATCCACACATTGCTTTACTGTCTTCTGAGTTATCGATATTAGCCTTGGGACGCTCTTTTAGTTGTACAAGCGGCCCTTCTATGCTTTGAGGTCTTCAACTTGAGGCCCAGGGTGGGTTTACACAATCTGAAAATGCATGGCCACTGGCCAGACTCCAGACTCTTCGTCTGCCCATAACTTGAGCTCGGTCACCCATCCACTGAAAGTCATTGTTGCCACGTCTCTGCCACCCTGGACCCAACAGGCAAGGTCATTACCTCTAACAAATTTCTCTTAAGGTGGTAAAACCTTCAGCAGTAGATTTTTTTAAATGCTGCGAGCAATGAAGAGGTGAGTAAAAGGCGCTGCATAAACTGGCTGGGCTCCTTCGTTTGAGACAAAAGGAACGTCTAAAACAAAATAATTACTGTGAAATGTTAAATACGTGCTACACACGTGCACAGGGCTCTCTGTCCCCAGCCTGACTTTGGGGCACAGTGGCGAGGCAACGGTTGTGTGGGAGGAAGGGAGAAGGGGGAGGAGGGAGCGGGGAGGAGCCTGGATCAGGGAGAAGGGAGGGGAAACCGACTCAAACAGGGAGCTCCATCAGTTCCCAGGACCAGAAACTTCCTCCCCGGCAAAGCACAGGGACTCTGGGTCCCCCTAGTGGTGGCCACTGAGATACAGCCTCTGGCAGCACAAACTGGCCACTGGGGATGCAGTTTTAATATTTGATTTCTTGCTATAAACTCTCCCAAAAGGACAGGAGGGAGGGAAATGGGCAAGCTTCGTTCTCCTCCCACCTCTGAGCCCCAGAAGCAAAATCCAGTGGAGAGGTACCATCTGGTTACTGGTGTTAATACGAACTTCAAATTGCAGGAGCTGTGTTTCCTCAGATCAAAGCCCAATCTCGAAAGATAAATAAATGCGGAATAAGGAAGTTATATTTGTGTTGTCCCTGAGTCGGAATCCTCCCGGGGGCATGCCGCGTCCTTCTGATGACAGCTTGTAATGAGTGAGCCTTTCCAACCAGAGGAACGTCCCTTTGTTGGTAATTAATAGTGATATTTGCCTCTGAGCATCTGGTGGCCTTTCTGCTGCTGCTTTAGAGAAAACTGGGTGTTTGCCAGCAAAAAGGAATCAACACATCCCTGTTCCTGGGGAAAGGCAACTGCTGTTAACTTTCTAAAAATAATAACAATAATTTTCTAATTTCTGGAAAATGGAGGGAGGAGGAGTACCCTAGAGAGTTCTGGGTTTTTCTAGAAGCTGGACACCTCTTGATTTTTTTTCTTGACAGGATTGCACAGTTCAGTCTTTCCAGCACATCTCATCTCTTAAACTTCAGGGGGACACTTTTTTCTTTGTGAATGAAAAGCACAGTTGGGATTTACTATCTGGTGGCTCAGATAGTAAATCATCTGCCTGCAATGCAGGAGACCCAGGTTCGATCCCTGGGTCAGGAAGATCCCCTGGAGAAGGAAATGGCAACCCACTCCAGTACTCTTGCCCGGAAAATCCCATGGACAGAGGAGCCTGGTAAGCTACAGTCCATTAGGTGAAGTGAAGAGCCCGAAAGACTGAGAAACTTCACTTTCACTTTGGGGAAGGCAAGGTGCCTCAATGAATCAAAGCCGCAAGAAAAAAATTAATGTGGACCAAATGAACACTGAGGAAAACAAATTCACAAAGATCTCATTATTCATTGGAGGGCTAGATGGGAAATTAGGAGCCACAGAAACCACACGCTGACACAAAACAGCCTCTGCTTGATTCCAGCTTTGTTTCAACTCTGTCTCAGTTGACCTTAAACTACGGTCGGTGACCTCCGTTAGGGGACCGCTCACTGAGACCCATTTCAAGGATGAGCCCCATCAGCAACACCTCTGCAGCCTCGCAGCAATGCCCTTTTTCTGTCTTGCACGGTGTGGGCACACAGTGACCCAATCTGCTATTTTCTGGAGATCCAGTAAAAGACAAGACTCACGCCCACAAAAGACAGACCCACGCTCCTGGTGGACAGCTTGGATCTGGCCCTGCCCAGATCAGGGGGAATGTGTCACCTCTCAAGAACCTTCTAGTCATGTGATTCTATTTTTGAAAATGAATCCAACCCTGGAAAATTCTGACACCAGCCACCCAGACATCTGGGCACTGGCCACATCTCATCGCGTGAATGTATTTTTAAAGGGGGCCCTTTATGTGCCTGACACATGGGCAATTTGGAGATAGTGATGTTTACAGAAGGGTTCGCAGCTACGTAAACAGACACGCCGGGCAGCTGCGGCAAGCGTGCGTTAAAATAGTGAAGCATTCACATAGACTGGTATTTATAGAGGGCAAATTGGCCTGCAGGCTAGATGGCAGCCACACGGAGCTGGGCCCCGTGCCAGCCAGCGCCTCACTATAGGCTTTCTGATTGATGCACTTCCAAATTTACCCCCAGCGATTATGCAACGGTGACAGGCGGCCCTTTCCAATGCCTCAGCAAATATGCCTCATTTAGGATGAATCCCTGTTAAGCTTTTTTTTTTAAAAATTTTATACTGGAGTACAGTTGATTTACAACATTGTATTAGTTTCAGGTGTAGGACAAAGTGATTCAGTTATATGTATCTGCCTTCCTCCTCTTTTTTGCATTCTTTTCTCATATAGGTTATCACAGAATATTGAGTCAAATTCCCTGTGCTGTTCAGTAAGTCCTTGTTATCTATTTTAACCTTTTATATATTTTTTTTGATTGATGGGAGCTATGAGGCTTATACAAAAGTAGACCATATCATGTAATCAACTCCCATGTATGCACCAGTCAATTTCTATAATTGTCAATTCATCTGTATCATCTACTCACTAACTGCCCCTCCAGCATAGTATTATTCTACCTGCAGATATTTCAAAATCTGTCTCTAAAAGATAAGGACCCTTTTTGACACATAACTGTAACCCTGTTATGACACCTAAAATAATTAATGATCATTTCTTAAGATTCAATATCTACTACATGTGCCAAGTGCCAATTGTCTTATAGATGTCTTTTTAATTTTTTTTTTTTAATCTGCTTGTTCGAATCCAAATGAGGTTAACACACTATGGTTGGCTGGGATCTCTTCCAAGCCTTAGTCTATGAGCTCTCCTTCCGTCTCTGTGGGATTTTTTCCTTTCAAGTTTTTCTCAAAGAAGAGAATTTCTGAAACATTTATGTACGACATAGAAAACTGGGGACAGTGGAGGGTTGGGAGCTGCCAACTTAGTGAGGTTATCCTAGATAACATTTTTGTGGATGACAAAGAGGGCTGACTGTCCAGAAGTCAGTATCTGGGGGTTCCCAAGGAGGAGAGGCCAAACCTTGCTTCTCCATGGGAAAGCTCAGTTCCATTTCCAGAGTCACTTGATTTCACATGAAGACAGCTTAGTCGCATAAGTCACGCAACAGACGGCAGGATTTTTGAGTTGCAGGTCTTCACCCTGCTCTTACTTTACTGGTGAGCAAATTGAGTCCCAGCAAGACTAGGGAGCTGGCTAAGGTCAGCTCGTCGGGGGCAGAGCAAGAATTTGAAGCCCAGAAGCCACTGATGATGTTGTCCAGCCTCCAGGCTCAGGGCCCTTTGCATCATGAACGCTGTCGGTTCATGAAGTTTCTGTGGGGCAGTGCACCCAGAGGGACAACTGGTATTCAACGTGAGGACAGGATCTCTTCTCTCCCACCATCGGTTCTTTTTCTTTAAGGGTTCTTTATTGGGCTCCAATGTTATCAGCTTATTTTACAATTCTTTATTACATTCACATGAATTTTTAACAACCGTATATTAAAGTCAGATGTGCCACAAAACCATTCTGAAATTGAAATTAAGTAAACACCACCTACAGAAATACTCCTGGAAAACCATAATGTTCCATCAAGTCTGATACCCAAGGACCACTTTTCTTTGCCATAATCAAAATGCCACTTCACTATAATAGAGGCGCTCACAGAGTTTGAAAAGGTGGTATTTCTCAGCTAAGACGGTTGAGGGTTAGTGTTACGGTACTTTTAAGCTGTTTCTACTAATAATATTTCACAGCCTTTGTATTTCTCAAATCTTATTTTCTTCTTTAGATAAGTTACTGCTAATCCTTCCCATTCATTATTTCCAGATTTGCCCTTTTTCTTTC